TATATAATCAAAATAAATGTAATACGTCGACATTAGTTGCGAGAGCAAATGTTTTCTGAAAATTAGATGCGAACATTCCACAAACATACAAACGCAGTTGATACATTTTGTTTAAATGAAGGAAATGCTTTCTTTATTGAATTGTTTAAAAATAAAACGTCGAAATAAACGCTAACCGTATGTTGTCTATCAGGACACATGGTAACGACAACACGTTTCTTTTACACACACACACGCTTCGTCTTTTATCTCTCTTTTGATTTTTTTTCATTGCATACGCACAACGATCAAATGTAAACAGTAATGAGTCAATGCGGTTTGCTGTAGAAAGCAACAACAACAATAAATGTGTAAGTGCGTGTGCATTGCATTTGTTGATCTCTCTTAAGCACGAAAATACCGAGGAATACCAATGACACAAGACATTCATTACAAGCAGTTAACGTCTTTTCTTCTTCTTACTTAAGTGATCTAACTATGCATTCATTGCGCGCGCGTTTTTTCCTCTGTTGTTTTATTTTTGTAATGCTTACATATGTTTTAGTTGATCATTAGTGTTAGCAATTAATTCTCCCGGTTAAATTTGAATGTTGTACCGGAGAGTAATAGGTTGAAAGATGGAAAAGGGAATTAAGTCGTTGGCGTTAACTTGTTTGACGTTTGAAAGATTGCTTCTGTTCATACTCGATATGAATTTAACGTAATACTTCACATTAAATGCTAATTTCCATGTAATTTTTTCTCTTTCTTAATTCATTTTCGATGACTCGATTTTACGAACAATTGCATCCGTTGCATATCACAATTATCAAACGCTTGAACTATTACAAGCAGAAAACGTTGGAAGCACCTTTAAAATTGAAGTCGGGTGAAATGCTGACATTAGTAAAATTTTGTGAAAACGAAAGAAAGGGATAAAGAAAGAACAAACCCATCTAATTAAATGGACAGCGAAGCGTAAATAACTCAGACATGAACTGTTGCATCGAACTTGATTGAAAAATAGACAGAGAGTGAATGAAGAAAAAATACGAAGAAAGGAAAACTCGTTGGCCTCATATTACAGATGACACTGCATTACAATTTTTGTCTTCGTTCGCTATCTATCTATTCTTCACACAGTGTATACTTTTTTTTGTATAATTTGACCAATGCAATTTACTATAGCAAACAAAATCGATTACTCCCACTGAATTTTAACTTTGAATGTTGTATGCGACACACGAATACTTGCGATCAATGGTGTTCGATTTTGTTTTTGTTTTTTATTTTGGCTAATGCATTTCGTGAGATGATTGCATTCAATGTTGGTGTTATCGGTAAAATGTCTAACTTTCACCGATAAATTCAATAAAAATAAATAAAGAAAACACAATTTTCGTCTCAGTTCAACGAGTTCAACCACGTGAATTGCTGCGGAGGAGTATGATGGAAGTGTGGAGAAAGAGAGAGAGAGAGAATACATAAATTGAAGGTGAACGCATTTCAATTCCAATTGAAAAGCCAAAGTAAACACAACATTTGCCCACATTCGGATATGTATATATCACATTACAAGTTCACGGATGGTATGGAAGATTTGGGGTCCCTTAACGATCGTAAAAATCATTGATGCGAATTATCGAAACAAAAATAAATTAAATCCATTCAAAGAGAATGGCCACACCGAAAGAATAAACCAAACTAACATCAATAACAAAAACAAATACCGTTAAGGTTAAAAAGCCATTCTGATACGTAAAATATGCTTTGGCAATATTTCTTAAACAGATTATTTTCAGCGTTTTTTTTGTCTTCATCATTTTGCTATCGCCTTTTTTTTCTTTATCCAGTTGCTTTACGGTTGATCCTTTGTACGGTCCATTGAATTACAGTGAACATTCGTTAAATCGAAACCGTTGAAATTCGTACTGACCTCTTCGAATTATTGAACATTTTAACTATCGAGAGTATTTTGAAAATGTTCAAAAAGGTACCAAGCGTGTATTGATTACGAAAAAAATTACATTCTTCTTGCTTTTAATAGATACAAAACAACCTTCATGAACCAAATGTTGTATATTGATTTTATTCTTAAAAAAATGGAATTATCAAGAGAAATTTGAATTAGTGAACTTCGAATTAAAGACAGTCGACTGTATTGAGCTCTCTCTCAGAGAGTCTCTCCCTCTCTCTCATTTTTACAAGATCTAAATTGAATAAAAAAAATAATACGAAAAAATTGTCGCATACATAGACGAGCGGGTTCGAGTATCATTAAAGGAAGGAACTTAATTTTGTTGAATTAATATTTATGTTCATGAGTGTGTGCATATTGCACACAATATTTTTCTCTCGTCTTTCATACTTTATTATGAAACGTTTGAAATAGCAAAGTGGTTTTGCTGATATTATTTGCCAATGGTGGCTGCATTCGATTGGAAAATGTTTGTCAGTGTGCAGGGAAAATCGGTAGCATAATTTACTGTGGCAAAGGATGTAAATCAGATTTAGAAGTAGATTCGCATATTTGCGCTAAACGAAAAACGTTTATCAGGAATGAGCCATCAAGGAAACTTGGGTTAAGTCCATTTTCATATTTCTTTGTAAACCCCAGTACGTAGTTTTTTTTTTTGGTTTTTCTCTCATTCCTTCTTGATCCTTTTTGTTATCCACTCACTTACTCTCTCGTACATACACTTATTCAATATTCCACATTCTCACCCCGGTTCCTGTTTCCAGCCATGTGTATCCCGGTTCGTTTCATTCTTATTATAATTTATGTGATAGTCGTTGTTTTTGATGTTTTCACATTTCACTGGTTTGATGATAATAAATTGGATTGTGATGTCCTGATTTCACAAATCGATTTTGTGACCAGCCAACGAACATTGACTAAGCTGAACTGAACCATACGCAAGTAAATGCAATAAACGTAAAAATAGACACATCGATTTTTCCACATTTTTGCTGGCATTTTCTCTTCAAATCGGTTTCTTGCAGTGTTCAAACTAAAGTCAGTTTCTTCACCAAACAAAAATCAAACCAATTGAAAGATTCGTATACAACCCCCAATCACAAAAATAAAGAAACAAAAAAATGCCAACAAAGATATTTGCTAATTTTGTATTAAATAAAATATCTTAATATAATCGAGACTTTATTTCTCGATCTTAAATTACTTATTGAACCTTGATTCGGAAAGAAAAAAAAACTATGATTATTATCGAATTATATAATGGATAGTGAAGCAACCGTGCTGTAGGCTATTTTGAAGACTGGACTCTTACAAAATAGATAAACGTTGTTAGAATAAAATGAATTATTTATTACGATGCAAATGATTTGCCATGGCAAGATACACACACCCGCATAGCGCTCATATAAATCTTAACCAATAACCACAATAAACCGAAATTATAACATTTGTAGCAGTTACACCATTCTCTTGAAATAATTCCTTCAGAAATCGGTATAATTAATAAACAGTCATAAATTGACACACACACACATACTCACACAAAAAGCGATAAGCTCCAGTTATTATACGAAGACAAATGTTTTGAGGAGCAATCATTTTTCGATAATACATCACTTCATCATTTAACATACGCTCGAGAATACGTATGTGTGTATTTTATTATGCATAATACCAATGTAACGAGGCACAATATCGTCATTTGAGACTGGTAGTTTATTTTTGTATTTTTTTGGGCATGCAAACGACAGAGAGTGAGAGAGAAAGAGAAAACGGGGGTCGATTTGGCATTCAAATTATGTGTAGCAACAGTTTCATCGTGCCCAACATTAAATATAGTTGAAATCGATGCAAATGACTGATGAGCGTATAAAAAATATCAACAACAATGAAGCAGCAATGACGACAATGAAAGTAAAACTCTCTGTTTTTTTGGGGACGTTATTGCAATTACTACTGACGAAAGTATACAACTCGTTCTAGGCGCTCTCTCTCTCTCTGTGTGTATACGATGAAGCACGCGACCTGCTGTTTCACAGTTTTATTACAATAAATAATGCAAATAATAATTTACAGCGTAAGTGGAATTATTGCGCTCAAAAATGTTTATACGTACGTATAAAAAGTCTGTTTTATATTGTATAAATATCAAGTCTTATTTTGTATCCAGCTGAAGCATATTAAATATAATAAGCGAAATAAAATGCGTTTGCCACATCTATGCTTCCTTCATTTTGGCAATGGTTTCTGTTTGGCGTTGACATGTTATATGAATTATAGCCGGTATGTATCGTTTTCTATGACGAACAACGAATGTCTTACGCTAAACACACACAGAAGGATTTTGAAATGTTTATTTTTATTGTGTAGACATTTCAAACCGACAGACAACACAACAACAAAAATGAGCCCTTGATTGTGGGGCACACACAAACGAAGTTTATACGAGTGAAATAAATATTATCGCGCACGCACATGCACATACACAATCGTGCAACGCAATTGAACTTATATATGTGTTAAAATGTTGCTCAAACAAAGAATTTCGATGTAAAATCGCATGCGGTGGCTGTTTTTAGACATTGTTTTTCTTCATCGAATGCCGTATACATAGTTTTGCCTTCGGAGATTTTACATATATGCTTTGCTCAAAAGAGACAATTTGTTTATCCACACTTCACGTTCGCTGCACATTGGCACAAAGTTTCTCGTTCTCACTCTTATACTTGCAAAGAACATTTCTCATCCAGAAATCATTTCTGTGGCATATTTCGTTCGTCTTTTCTTGTCTTTTCCATTATTAAGTCTGAAAAGATTTATATGCCATGCCGTTGTTTAGTGGCTCGAAAATTACACCGCGTTTCCCATTCGTTTCGTTTACAAATCTCTGGCTCAGTGCATGCTCCCAAATATATTATATTTATGTTTTTTCTGCTGTTCAAACTCTTTTGAAGACGTTCTTACATTCCCAATTGGACTATATGTCGGTAATAGGTTTTTTTTTTCATGAAATATTATTAGAAACACAATAAACACACACCAGTATGGTATTATTTTCATTAAATTTTTCTTTATTGAATCATTTCGATTTCAATGTGGCCACCAACAACATACACATTACACATACACTCGGAAATTATTTGTGCTATTTATTGGCTGTGTTTGTGTGTGGATGTAATTGCATACTTTGGCACTAGTATGGTACCGAAGTATGAGTTATAACTGGTTCTTGATTGTAGACCATGTTTGAAGATGATCTTGAACCACTTGGACATCTCGAGTTCGTGTTTCGGGACAATCTATTAATATTTTTGTTATTATTATTATTATAAGATCCTTGACGATGCATTGATCGATTGAAATAACTTTGAACGGTTTTTGGGATCTGAATAATGTGATGCATAACCGTGGTTACTGGCGACAAAAATGATGGAATCAAATGATTTTGTTGCGCAACAACTTGATTCGGACCGTTAACAGTAGTGGTGTATGTTGTTTGTTGTTGGCCAAATCCTGTTGGCTGTTGTTGAACTACTTGATGATAAACAGGCTGTTGATTGTTCATGCCCATGGTCAAGCCTAATTGTGGTTGATTGGCGATTCCCAATTGAGGGTACAGTGTTTGCTGGTCAGAAACGCCTGGAATTATTCCAGCCTGTACAGCCTTAAGTAAAATAAAAAAATAAAGAACATAAAAATAATAATTGTAATATTCACTTAAATTTAAAAAATGTCTTACCATCAAAAATGGTGCGCACAAAAGTAATGTAAAATAAAAGACGTTCATATTTCGAGATGAATAAAATAGCTTCACTGTGACTGCTTGAATGTTTCGGAAAATACGACAATACTTGATATTTATTCACTTTTTTCGAATAAATTTTGAATTGTTAATATCGTTATTTTCGACAAAATTCATAAATATATGGTAATTAACCATCTGGGTGAAAAGAAAAACTAATAAACGGTTATTGGATGATATTAACATCAAGTCATTTTGTTTTCGTAGTCAATGATTGTAATTATCGAATTGTGTCACTTCATCGGAATTGAACGAAATACTTGATTAATGAAGTAAATTTGCATAAAAAATTTCCATTTAAACAAAATAGAAAAAGTACGAAAAACAAAAATTTGTACGCAAATTAAAAACAAGCCCAAAATCATGAGTGTGCACGAATTCTATATTGGTCTTTAATTTCGAAATATGTTTTGCTCTATTTCCTGGAGGCTGGTGCTGCTGTTTCTATAGACGTAATACGTGACCCTGAATAAAGTTGTTAAAAGGTGCTAGTGATTGATATGCACGTAATTCCCAGCGAAGGTGGAAAAAAACAAAAAAACGACGCTCTTAAAAATGCACTTTATCCTTTGGGCTATAATCGTATGTGTGTGTATGTGCGCGCGCTGGTGTATGTGACGATGATGATAAAATAAAATTCGGTATAAACAAACAAACAAACGAAAAATGAGTTCTACAAGACATGGCAAACATATGTCTGCATGGAATTTGGTGCTGGGACTTTTTCTCTCTCTTTTGTTCTCTTGTTCGGCAATTGTGTGAAAATTCATTGAAATTGCTGACAAAGCAAACAACAATGACAACAATTTTGTTTTATTCGTTAGTTTTGACTTTGGATGAGAGAAAAAAAGGGGCAAAAAATGGGGAAAAAATCACGTTTTTATTTGCCTAACTTTAAAGTAATCATTAGCTCAATACCATTTTTCATTCGGAAGTTTCGACGAAGAGTGGAAGAGAAAGGATGAAGTGAAAAGACAAAAAAAAGATGAAGAAACGAAGAAGACAAAATACGTGCATCTTTGTGCATTTCTCGTTCACCATCCCATTTCGATCGTGCTCATTTGTGGCATACACTTTAGCAGCGAGATGCCTTTTTTGAATTTTTTCCTTCTTCTCTTGCTTTTGTTTTTTCTTCGGATTTTCTGGACGGAATTTGATAAACAGAATCCGGCTAATAACGCATACGTTTTCGTGCACATTACAAATTACCTTTTGAATTACAATCACACCCACAGTTTTTTTTTGTGTTCGACCATCACTCAGGTGCAGATGAATGTGTTTCCATTGCAAACATCACGTAAATCTCATTACAAATGAAACCGGATAATAAATATGAGTGAGGCATTTTTTCCGCATTTAGTTTTAAATTGCTTGACGCGATTGCACTGCTGGATTGCAATGGAAATGGTTAGTCAGCCCATACCGGTAACTCGTGTGCAGGAAAGAAAGAAGAGAAACAAAAACAATAAATGCGAGCAGAGAATTTGACACGCATCAACTTGCAATCGAGTGAATTGCGAATAACAATAACAAAAAAATGGGAAGATGATGAAAAAACCAAAACGCACAACAACGAAAGCGAAAGAAATTAGTGGAAAGTCGTGACCCAACTAGTTTTGTATGGGAATTTGCATTCGCTTTGTGGAGAAATTGAGTGCGTAGATCAATGTTTTAAGGAATCAAATGAATGCAGATCGCGCACACATACATATAATCATCAATCAAGTGTGGTGTGGCGAGAGAATACATGGGCACAGGGGGGTGTAAGCCCAGATAACTCCCCTCTTAAATCGTCCGAGCTAAACCCCCCCCCCCCCCCGACGGCAGCAGAGAAATCTTCCGATTTGCTAGGGATGTTTCACTGGAAAGTGAAGACCTTTTTTTTTGTTAATCAACTTCAGAAATGGAAGAAAATCTTTAAAATTTCTAGGGTTTTTCGCGGAAAATTCTTTCGATTTGCTAGGGTTTTTGGTTGGCTGATGGACCCCCCCCCCTCTTAAATTTTTTCCCTGCCCATGTATGGGCGAGAGAGAAAAAAGCAGCAGAACCTATCTAGTAAAAGATTCAGCAAATTTTATGATTTATGGAAAGTGGCGTGCACTTTACCATATCCATCTGACGTACTCACCTGAACTCGAGAGCAAAATGTATAACGAATATACATTTGTGCACCTTCAAAATATCTAAATACGTGGATAATAATGTATAAAACCAAAATGAATGATTGTTAAATCGCATGCTGCAGTCTGTTCTACTACATTTGAATGAGTTTTCAGATTTAATTCGTTTGGATTGTGTGCGCACTGTGTGTTTTTTTTTCTATTCCTTTTCTCATTCACCATCGCCGCTATTAACTTTGCAACAATAATTTTACAATCGTCGGCGGTTTGTCTCAGCGTGCACCGACATTCGGGTTTCCATTGTTGTTGTTTCATATATTTTTTTTTGTTGTTGTGTGTCTGTTCATTTGAAATCCGTAGAATTTTCTCCAAACTGAATACCAACACCAAATTCAGTTTCAGATTTTATGAAATTTATTGTTTTCAATTTCAGCATTTCATTTGCATTCGTGCATAGCAAAATGCAACGACGAAATTGCATCCACACGGCCAGGTTTTTCATGATTCGGTATTTGTTTAGTTCTGTCACAGCTCTTTCTCTCTCTCTTTCTTTCTCTCTGACACAAGCATGTATACCCGATCTGCATATTTTCCATGCAAATGTTCATTGTGTGAGAGGTATGAACTGAATCCAGCGAAAAAAATCAACATTAATCACAAGAGCCACGAAATCCTTATCCATCAGTTTTATTAGTTTTATGTTTTTTCATTAAATTCCGCCCTTTTAATCCGATCAAATCGCATGCAGACTTGCATAGAATTTGAACTGTTGAATTCAAACGAAGCGCCCTTTCGAAATGCTACGGCGCACATTGTGTGCGAAGGCAAACTATAGTGTCGAACCGTTTATAATTTTTAAGCCATGATTTTTTTGAGGTTCTTTGGGTTACATTCACCATAATAGATGGTACGGTACTGATCGAAAACCAAATATTTCAAACATTTTTCCGACATTGCAACGAGAATATTTTACCAGCGAAATTGTACGAATTTGTTTACATGATTGATACATGAAAATGTATCTACAAATAAAACTCATGTGTTTTACCAAACTTTTATTGTGGATTGTAAATATTGTGCAGTTTCAATCTCGATTCGGTTTTTTTTTTGCGTGTACGCGAATCGTTGGATGAAATAAAATTCTGTTTTTTTCTCAGCTCACCATGCATTTTCCTGCAAAACAAATATGGAAAGAGAACCAGATTACTTAAAAACAAACTACCGAATGAAGTTTTGAGAGTGCATACGAGGAAATATGAAATTCTCATTTTTTTTTCAAATATTTTTTTGTACACAAGCATTCATTCTATCATATTGATTGTAATTCAAATTTTGAATTGTTATCGTTTTTTCATTCAATTTTTTTTCGATTCAAAGAATCACACTTATCCAATTAAGTGGATCTAGGTCATCACTCAAAATACAATAAGAAAATATGTTAGTTTTCAATACAATACGCAAAAAGTGCGAATATGTATGTTTTCTGCAAACAAATTTTAAAAAAACATTTGCCTGCTTCAGGTTTAAAGCTTGAATTGTCAAGTATTTTCCTTGTTGTAGAAATAATAAATAACGTCAGCACATCAAATCTAAAACAAAAATATTGAAAACATAGAGAAAAAGTGTTATGAAAAAAAAACATGTAAAAAAATTGAGTGATGAACATACAAACATAACAAATAAAGGAACAAATGCCTGCGTATATGGTGAGAGACACAAGGGAAAAAGAAGAAGAATTGACAAATAAATAAACATTGCCGGAAAAAACCCCACTCGTTTTAATGCAAATATATATTTATATTTACATTTTTATACATTCAAATCCAGAGGCTTTTCACTGTATTTGTTGTGTGATTATGTCTGTTTTTCTTCATCGGTTTAAAATCGCCGGCTGACATATTTCATAAATTGTGTATGCTCGTTTTTTGTTTGTGGATCCATCCGGCAATGTTTACATCAAAGTGAGTCGATATATTCGACTAACAGATAAACCGACGCGCGAACAGGGCGGCATAGGATGTATTTTGGTACCAAAACGTAAATTATGTCAGATCTACTGCCGAAAGATATTCGATTAGAAGATAGTAAAATATGCTTTTTGTATCATTTTCACCTTTATCTAGCATTATATTTTGTTATTAGAATAATCGCTCAAATCTAATGAAGTCATTCGAATTGTTAAATAATAACATAACTCATTTTAACAATTATATTGTAAGTGAAATTTAATGTTTTTTCCACGTCGTTTGATGATTTTCGACGTGCACAAACTTTTCATAAGAAAAATCTCGGAAGGTACAATTTGTTTATCGTTCTGTATTTATACAATTTGGTGATAAATTATATATCAATGACAGTGTTCGAGTTAATATTCGATGAATTACAATGTATAATGCGCCAATCTGCGCACAAGACGAAGATAAAGTGTTGTACGTCTTCGAGATCTGAAATCTACATTGCAATCTAAGTACCTCTATAACTAAAATGTAAACATAGAAGTGCGCTCAGTAGTCATTTCATTTAAATAACATCACGAAAGGGAAAAAAGCAACTATGTAATATCAACGCTGTTAGTTAGACAGTTTTTGTCATGGTTTTTAGTCCTATGCAAATAATTAGGTAAGAAGTCTGCAGTTGATGTACTTTCAAGTGCATGTGCTTTATAATGGCTGGTGTGCATGTGAAGGTATTTGCTGTTGAATTGCTATTCACTTTGCAGCAATTAAGTAAACATTGCACTGGATTGACGGAAACAACATGAAATACTTTCTGCGTGAAAAATTGTCTCTGATTTCATCTTTTTTTTTTCGTAAACTAACATACCGAGATGCAAACGCTTCCAGCCAATCGCTCCAAATATGCCACACTCATCTTCATCTTTTTCTCGGTTTCTTTATACTGTTCAGTGCACACGTATTCACATCCTGATGAGTGACTGTGCACCCGTCATTCA